GTATCTTAACACAGCCCACCTCAAGAAATGCGATCAACAGCAATATCCTGCAAAACCTTCCATGTATGCGGCTCTCTTTCTGGCCCTCCTCCCATCCTTCCTCCCTTCCCTCCTCAATAGCCTATTTCCCTTACTTGTATCCACAGTCAAGGTCATGGAAGCAGTCCTCAATTAATCAAATGAAGGGCTGCTCTGGTGCCAATCTGCTGCAAAAGACCTCTTAAAAGTGTGACAAAGCCAAGCTATCACTCTGATGGGTCAGGTGCACCTGACCCAAACCATGGGATTCTCAATGACCTCATCTGAATCTGCAAAATCTGGGCTCTGTAAAAAGGAAGTCTTGACATTTTTGAACGACGGTGTTGATGGATATTATTGAATACGCCCTGGTCTGCCAATAGAAAGAATAAATCTGTTTTTTTTTTAAATTCCAGCCAGAGTGCTCTTCAGAAGCCAGGATGGTGAAACTTCACCCGACTTACTGTGGACCTGTTATCAGGAGGCACCGATCATGCAAGGTAAAGTAGAAGGTCAATGACAAGGAAGACCCATCCACATGAGAGGACTGACTCGGGGTGTGTGGCCACACATAGTAGCAACTGTGAGGACGGCTCACGATTTGTTCTGCTTGAGTCCGTACCACTGATGACGGCCAAGGGCCACGTTTGCTTGGGAGGTGATCCTGGGAAACACCAGTAGGGGCCCCGAGGAATTGAGGGAGGTGGGGAGGAAAGGCAACACAAAATGGATAGTTGCAAAGCTAGTTATCCAAAGGGCACCTGGAGCTGACTCCTTCCAGGGCATTCTGGGAGTCAGTGCAGAACACCATGCCTCCGCATCAACCCCCACAGTCATCCCTCACAGCCTGGCAGGAGAGGTCAGCCCCTAGCAGGGAGGAGGGCATCCACACAGAATTGCAACAATGGGAGATGGACGACAAAGGAAGGATGGACCAAACACATACATGAAATCATTAAGGGTGACAAGAGCCCAGTTTCTACAGTTGGAAAACGTCCAAGGCGAATGGGAAATGTGGAAAGGATGAAGCCTGAGGGGCTAGGGTGGAATGGGTGACATCTGTGGGCACTCATGCCTTTCACGCATGTAAATGTGTGTCTATCTAAACACACGTGTCACCTCTAGAGTGTGCACTGAGCATGCCACCCCAACAGCCACCCACACACCCAGATCTCAGATCGTGGCTCCTAAATCCCATTCTCTACTGATTCCACTGCTGGGGCAGAGCACCTGGTGCTCGGAGGGAGGGGAGGGAGGAGGAGTAGCAGGATGACAGGGCCACGTGTCAGGAGGACACAGAAATCGGCTCGAAGGGCTCACACCGGCCAAATCAGAGGTGCTCGGAGCACCACGTACGTTGTCAGCTGTGGTC